AGTTAGCTTTACTCCAGACTTTGCCATTTTAATAGCATAATGATAGCATAATAATAATGATACAGAAACTGATATTCATGTGAATATAGACAAATATAGAATATAGTCTAATCGTGATAATCTTATATAAGTTTCAATATAAATGACGAGATCTGAAGCATGTTGAAATATTAGCGATATAGTGTATTAAATGTCAATTTTCTGTATCATATAATTGCATTACAAAATTACAATCCATGTGTACTATATAAAGCACTATATTATTTTTCCGAATATTTTACATAATTATACAAGTATATTCTTTTTACACAATAAATTTACAATATAATTTACAATAATATTTACAATAATTATATATTTGTTTATAATTTAATATACTAGATTTATAATCATTTAATCTAAATTTTGATTTGTACATATAAATATACACAAAAATAAAGTATAGTAAGTGCTCTGTCATAATTAAATTTATACTTATATCGTTTCAAAATAACTTTATAATAAATATAATTCTGAAAGATTTTTTTATGAATTTTGCAAAATTTAATATACAAGTACAAGTTAATAATTGTGCACTCTATTTCTAAGATTTATTTAAAAAATAACAAAAAGGATTTATTAAGGCACTTCATTTTTCCCTTTGTTTGTAAACATATGTGCAGCAAATTTATATTATTAAAAAAACGCTTCGATTATGTTTTCAATTAATAATCAATGACATTTTAAAACATTTCTGAAGGGTACTTCGAAACTGATTATCTGAGAGTGAAATTAAAATTAAAATGAAAAACATTTTTTATCTTTTATAATTTTTATCTTTTTATAATTTATTGAATCGTATTATTTAATAGAATTAGAATTACAGAGATTGTTTAAATATCAAATTCCAACTTCTAAAGTATTTCAAAAGTTTAATAGATATAGATCTATAGATATCCAAAGTATGAGAAAAGTAATACACGCATGGCTGAGAAATTAATCAAAAATTTTTTTTGGATCTTTGAACGGATCATACATTTGTAAATGATACTTATTATGATATATGTATAAAATATGTATAATTTTTGTAAATCAACTTATATTTGAATGCAAATCAAATGCATTGAAAGCAAGAGGACTATATTGAAAAAATGTGCTTGTAAATTTGTTATCTTTTTAATAAATTTTAGAAGCAGAATACGGAAAACAATCATTCTATCAAACATTATCTTTCTATTTGTAAAAACATTTACTTTTTACATTAGAATATTTTCATTATGTCATATAATGTCAAATTCAGTATGTATTTCTTCCAGTACAACATAGTAAAATATATATGCAAAATCTTACGTGTAAGCCAATTTATGTGTAAATAAACTGAATATTTTATATTGCAAATTGCATTAAAAAAAGTATGTGATCGTTTCTACATTTGTTTTACGTTTTTATTATTTCATATTTCAATCATTATTACAAATTAAATTTTTTCAATAATATCTGTTGAACATTTGAAACAATATAATATGCTTTATTAATTTTATTTTTAGAATCGGAATTAGTTTAAAATATGCAAGAAATCCAAAAAATACATAATATAATACGGAGAAAAATTATTAAAAGTCAAAATATATTAATTTTTTAAATATATTTTGACTATTAATTATATATTGATTTGCAATAAAGAATAAAGAAAATGCTAAACTTTAAAAACTATTTTTATGAAATATTTAATATTCACAGAATAAATTTTGAAAAATGAAATTGTATTTTAGTTGAAAAGAGCAAAATATTATATTTAAAATATATTAATGTTGATTCTTTAGATATTTTCAAATACGCTATAAATATCTTAAATTTGCGCGATAAGAATTTTATTGTATTCTATTGTCTTTCTATACATTACTCTTTAGTGATATAGACTTGCTATAAATTCAATTATTATTATTATATCGTCATTTTTATTGATATCATTGTTTAATTTACTTAAGTTTCTAATTTGTTTCCAAATTTATTTAAAAGAACGAATATTTTTTAACAAAGTTATATATGTGTAGAATGTATTTTTCGATGATCAAATTATATTTATAAATTGTAAAGATAATTGAATGAGTGAGAATAATTGACTACTTTATATCAGCGAATTACAAGATAAGAAATATAAGAATTATAGGCGTATATACATATGCCTATATACGTGTATACATACGCGTGCACACGCTTATAACTCTTGTCTTTCAATTAAACATCACGCGCACGCGTGCGACATACACACATATGCTTCATAGCATTTATATTTATACATATACTAGACCGCTAATTTGCCTCAAATATATGGCTCCGAAGCATAAAACTCATGCGCATGCGTATGAAGTAAGGAGGACACGCATGCGCATGAAAATCTCATATATGCTATATATACCGACACATGAATTTTATATATATTTAATAACAAATATGTAATGTTTTTTTTATTCTTTTTCGATAATTGTTATAGCTTTTTATTCATTTCTTGAATAAAAAAGTTCTTCTTGTAAGAAAAAAGTTTCTTAAAAAGTTATTACCTTTTATAA